TAGAATCGCCACCGACCATTTTAAAACGAATTTAGGTGGGTCGGACACCGTCTTACCTGATATGTATTGTACCAGAAACGTGTCGGACTCGGGAGATGGTTACGGTCAAGGAAGGATTAGCACCCTTGCACCGCCCTTTCGGTACCAATTAATTTTTCAGTTGTCTTTAATTGCGAAAAATGAAAAATAAAATTTAAAAACTCGATTCAAATTACTTACCTTTGATTTGGTTGAAATTCTTCTAAAAAAAGTCAAAAATATTAGACAATAAATGATAAATAAACATTAAATAAATCAAAGAAAAAAAAGATAAAATAAGAAAAATAACATAAAAATATTTAATGAATCAACTTGTGACCTCCAATTGCCTCAACTTCCTAACAACGTGCAACTGGCTGCGGTTTGTTGTGATCTTGAATGCCATTCGCTCGAGCAAGATTCCACCGTGAGCAGGGTCACGGAAATGGCCAATATTTACAATCCACACCAATACACAAATTCCAGCAATAACCTTAGCCAAAAATATACCAAATTCATCCAATTTCTTTTTCAAGGGTGTCACTTTATCATCTGTTCGCAACATTGAATCACGAATGCTACCCCATAACAGTGTTTGCACCAACCCCAACGACAACAACTCTTGCCCATTGCGCAGCACAGTTGCGATATCAACTTGGTAGGCACGTAACTCCTCAAGTGCTTTTTCAGCATTTGTTTCTGTAATTACTCCTACTGCAGCATTGACAACTAATATCAGGAGGATAACAGAAGGCTCCAAAAATACAGTTAAGCCCATCTCTCCATTAATCAGAGCCAAAACGAACGAAATAAGTGCTTTCGTCGAGTCTACTCTAAAGAAATCCAAAACCTCGAAAACAGATCTAGCATAGGCGTCCTCCACTGAGGATCGGAGATGAAAGCTTTGTCGGCGTATTTTTGCGATTGGGCTCGTCCGTTTTCTTTATTAATTCTATAAATTTAAAAAGAAAAATGTTTCTCTTCGGTTCAGAATCGGAGGCTCGAGATTTACGCTTTTCAACTCTCCGTGCCCCCCCAAAGACTAAACCCGAGAATCAGCAACAGCCTGCATTGAGTCGCACTTCAACAACAAGTTTCTTCTCAAATCCAATAGCCATTAATTCTTTCAATTTGTCAAGATTCACAGCTTTCTTCAATGGCGTTACTCCATATTGCTTCAGCTCCATGATTTCCTCTTTGTACCTGATATCATCCTCTCGCTTTTGTACTCTCTTTGCTTTTTCCTCAGAAAGAAAATCAATAGCTCTCCCAATATCTTGATTGTTCAATCGTAATGCCCTCCTTACATCACATTCCTTAAATCCCATACTCATAACATGAGATAAGGCTTCGTCAGGCACTTGTAACTTTGAGAATTTTGCATGTGCACTGAGTCGTACTTCATCAAGGAAAGCAAAACATTCGCCTTATAGATGAAATCAGTTGAGTGAGATCGATCCCAACTCACTTGTATACCCACAGTCGGCTGCCAACAAGGGACAATGAGGAATCAAGGTACCTGCCAATGTGATTCTTTTGGTTTTGGATTTCCAGGTGAGAAAACTTTTGGTGATTTTGGACCGGTTTAGGCAAAGGGATTACAGAAGGGATACAAGGGTTTGTTGTCGATGATTCCAATATTGTTGTTGATGATCAGCTTAAACTCCCACCCTTATAGATGAAATCCGTGGTGTTTTATAAGGAGAAAAAAGAGAGAAAAACAAGGAACCATATGTGAGTTTAGTTGAGACGTGGAGGTTGTGGGTAGTTGTTTAGTAGTAGTGGTGAGATAATGGTGAGAGGTTGGATTAGGACGTATAAAAAATAAAAAATAAAAAATAATAATAAATAAATAATATAGAATAATTTAATATAATAAAATTTTTTATAAATCCGGACAAAAATAAATGTCTACAATATGAATACAACAATAATACAATTTGTCCATAAGCAGCAATAATTAGCATTATTAAAGTGAGATTCCAAATATTAGACATACTTTTCAAAGTAATCGCCTCATTTCTAGAGCTAATAAATCATGTAACAGAGAAGGAATACATATAAAGAAAAGGCCGCATTATTGATTAAATCTAAACGAAACTGTAAATTCAAAATAAAATAAAAAAGACCTATCGTGGAAAAGTCCGGATAAAATAACCGGATCCGATCGGGGGAAACAAACAACAATTGCAGGGCCCAGGTTGGACGACATGGAGGATCCGAATCTGAAATGGAGATCGGCGAGAATCGACCGCGTATCGTAGCGTTTTCTGTCGAGTAAAAGAAAAGTGATATGAATGAGAAGGAGATGTGAAAGCGTATAGAGAGGAAAATAATGAAGACGAGAGTGATTTGAAGAGAGTATTAGAGGTGTTGTCGGTTGGCACCGGGAAGAAGGGGAAACGTGGCACTCTCCATGCATATCTAGTTCTATTTTGGGAGGCTCGTCTTCTGCGCTTGCGCTTTGAATTTGCCATCTGTTTCTCCAAGTACGTCCTACGACTATTTATACAGCTTTGTTTTGGTTGAATTTTTTGGGTAAAGTACATAAATGGTCCCCTGACTATAAGTCAATACTTTATTAAATCCTTCAATTATTAAAAATTATAAAATGATATTTAATTAGAGTGTTGTTTTCTTGAGTCTTCGACTATTAAAATTACAAAATGATCATACGACTATTCATATATTTCAAAATCGTCTTTTCTGTTAAAAAATTAACGATTGTCTGATATGGATGTTAATTTGCTGATTGAGATATGAAAAAATATGATCCTAACATCTTAAACAATTATACATTTTAAATGTTTTTGAAATAAGATTTTATCATATTTCAATAAGCAGATTAACATCTAACTCAGACGACCATCAATTTTTTAACAAAAAATGATGAGTTTGGAACATATGAATAGTCGAGTGATAATTTTATAATTTTTAATAGTCGAATGACTCAACAGAGCATCTCCCTAAAGTTAAAAAATCATTTTATAACTTTTAATAATCAGATAAATTAACAAAATAATATCATATAATTAGATGATCATTTATATACTTTACCATTTTTTTAGGCTTCGATGTATGCTAAAATTGAGTTTTAATTTTTAATTCTAGATTAACTAAGTTACTTTTTGAAAATTTAGGATACAATAAGTTTTTTAATTATAATTTTTATTAGAGTAAAGTACACAAATGATCCTCTCATTGTACGATACAAATTTTTTGGATGTACGTATATCTAAAAATATTTATAGTTCATGTTCAATTATTCGGTAACAATGATGGATCAAAAAATATTTTTTTAGGATGTATATGTATGTAGTAACAATGTATTTTTTGTATGTAGAATGAACACAAATAAAATTTTAAGATAGACACAATCAGTAACATAAGTAACTAATCAAATAAAATTTAAATTTTAAGATAAACACTTATCCATTTTCAACATAGTACACCTCCACCATTGCTTAACAACAACCCATGTAACGACCTAAATGGCTAATAAATACCAACATATTAACATTTTAACATGTAACAACTAAGAAATCATCAAGTGATCTCAGTTGATAAAGAGAATGTTATTCTAATATAAGATCTTAAGTTTAAATAATTACATATGTAGAATGTTTAGGTTAATAAATTATGTCCAACATATTAACATTTTAACATGTAACAACTAAGAAATCATCAAGTGATCTCAGTTGATAAAGAGAATATTATTCTAAAGAAGATCTTAAGTTCAAATAATTACATATGTATAATGTACATACAACACATAACAACTAAGAGTATATTGACTCAATCTATCTAACAAAATCAACTTGCTCTGAGACTCATAGCTCATTTAACTATTTGGGGTGTTCAAACGGTTAATTCGATAACTAATGAATTGAATTTCGATTACTCGAATTAATTGAGTTTAAAATATTTATTTAATATATATAATATTTTTAATAATTAATATTTTCGATTAATTATGTTAATTAACTGATTTCAAACCGAATTATCTGTTAATAGAATATTAAAAAAAATTATTTTCGATCAAATTAATTTAGTGACTGATGATTTTAACTAAACTAATTTAATCTAATCGATTAATTTAATTAAAAATTAAATATGAATCCCCTTACCACTATTTTGTGATAGTCAAAATTTAACTCGCACATTAAACCAGATCGTTGGCTGTTGAGAATCTCATCTGTGCCACCCACTTTGACGCGCAACTGTACGCGAAGTAGAGAATTCATTGAACAGTACAGTGGACTCAACCCTGCAACCGTGGAACAGAACTGCTCAATTAATACTAGAATGCTTTCTTTTACCAGTTGGGACCCTATTTCACAAGATTTTCTTGCTTCCCAAACGCCACCCTTTCTGTCTTTTCCGGGATATTTCTTCCCCTTCCTTCCCTTCTCCTCTTTGAAGAAGCAAGTAAAGAAGAAGGAACTTTTAGTTTCAGTAACAATATAGTCCATTTCCTTCCTGTTTGTTTACTCCACTCAGATTTATTCCCTTGTATGTTTCCTCTTTCTTTGAATAATTTTTACTTTATTCATAGTTTGATCTTCAATTTTTGGTGTTCGGTCATTTTTGAGTAAGTGGCTTGTCTGCAACTTTATGAAACACAATCAATATTTGACCCTTTTTTATTTTCTAACGCTAAGTTATTTCTCTTGTTTTTGGCCACTAATTATTATGAATGTGCAACGATTTATCGAGTTGTTCATGTGAAAAGAAGAGTAGTTAACTAGTTTATCGTTTCAGCTTGTTGAGTGACTGGATACGACTAATTTCATGTATGGTTTCCAGTTGTCTTTGATGTCTCTGATTTTGATATCTTTAATGTTTGTGCAATAGTATATATCATTTTTCCTCTGAGCTTCTTTCTAATTGTGTCTGGCCTGCAATTGAGCTGTGAATGTTCCAACTTTTTCTTTTTGCATTTTGGTCTGGGCCATCCGGCAATAAGATTTCTGCTGTATGTGATGAAGTTTCTTAAATTCGTTTGTGTTTCAGAGCTGATCATTCTTCTCTTAGAGGTGGCCAGGTGGGATCATTAGGGAAGCTATAGTTATGAATTATCCACAAGAGAAGCTTGTGAGCTTAGTACATTATTGATTTTTGTCCCTTGATTTTGTTATGGGGGAATGATATGTTTTTTGAGTGGATGTTGTGCTTAATTATAAGTCTTAGATGTACTTTAAAAAAAAAAATTCTAAAACCATTAAGATAACACTATATATGCATTTTTTTCAAGTGAGATTCATGTTGATCCTTTTCATTACCCGATGATGCTATCGCAATTTACAATTGGTTGTAGTTACTGTCCTCGACACTGTCATCAACACCCTATGTTTTCCAGTATTTCATATAAAAACAGCACTTCTTTTGATTAAGCTTAAGTTTCATATACTACTCCGATACTGATTGGTGCCTCATTTCTCACGTGACAGCAATTATATTCTGTGCCTGAAAAGTGTTATCTATTGTGCCGGAAATATAATCTGATTTCTTATATTAAATGATTTCTTCCAGGTTCCAGGACTGGAATTCAGAGAGAAGCACTGAAGGACATTTCTCTGATAATAACAGGATAAATTTGGGGAAAATTAGATTCGCAATAATTTCATTATCAGAGAAGTTTCAAAGAGGGGCTGAATCTGGTTCCGACAGGTTTAAAGGGATTAGAAAATCATTTAAATCTTATTCATTTAACTGCAACATTGGTTCTAGTAAGGAAGTTCTTGATCTACAGGGGCCTTTCCTTCAAAGGTGGAACAAGATGTTTTTATTATCATGCATCTTAGCAGTCTCAATTGATCCTTTATTCTTTTATGTCCCATTGATTAATGACGATTAGAAGTGCCTTGTTTTGGATGAAAAGATGGAGATCGCAGCCAGCGTGCTGCGTTAATTCACGGATATCTTTATATAATCCATATAATTTTTCAGTTTCGTACTGCTTCATTACACCTTCTCGTTTATTTGGAAGAGGGGTTTTAGTTTAAGATTCATTGGCAATAGCAGAGAGGTATCTGCAATCATACTTTATAATCGATGTTCTAGCAGTTCTTCCCCTCCCACTGGTAAGGAAATTATTAGGCCTTTGAAAAGGTTCTTCCTCAAGCATTTGATTGATTTATGTGTGACAGGTCATGCTCTATCTAGGCTTTAAAATGGAAATGAAATGAAATGCATGGATGAATCTTTTTATTTTATAGGGTGAGTGGGCACTTCATGTTATGTGCTTTGAATTGTGAATTTTATTGAGAAATTCCATTGCACCCTGAGCTGTTGAACCATTGTATAATCCGCCATTAGGTCAGAGGATGAGTTTAATTGCTCCAGCTATTTATGGTTTGCATATTTAATGGAAATATGCTGTTTTATCGCAGTCCATTGTTATAGGAACTCCTTTGTTTCAATCTGCAAATGTATGATCATTTAATTTGATACTGGTTTTTAACTTCTTGCTTGTTGACCAGGTGGTGATTTTAATTGTTATACCTCAAATGAGAGCCTTGGAGTCGTTGAATATGAAGAACTTGTTGACATTTATTGTTTTCTTCCATATCTTCCAAGAGTTTTTCGAATATATCCACTGTATAAGGAAATTACAAGGACTTCTGGCATACTAAATGAAACTGCATGGGCTGGAGCTGTATTCAATCTGTTTCTTTACGTGCTAGTAAGCCACGTAACTTTGCTAAACCATTATTAGAATATTTTTAACAAGAAACATGCACCTTTTCTCATATTTGCTTTTGTGGATGTACCTTTTGTGCTTGGTCTGGGCTCTTGAGTGGTTTATTGCTTCTAGACATTTCACAATTAAAACAGCAGAGGAAAAAGAGAGCAGATCTCTTACCATATGATTTTGGTGGTTTTTCACGTCTTCTAAAGTCGATCCATCCTATTTCAATGGCTATAATTTCCAGGATGCAAACAAGTTATATATATATTAGTTTAAAATAGAGACTGAATCTGGAGTATGGTAATTTGTAAAGCCATTCCTAGTTGTGGATTAATATATGATTGAAATGGGTAGAAGAGCTCAGCAAATGTGATTGGTTATTATCAAACCTTTGACCAAATACATGGATAATGACTAGGCATTGAATAGTTATTATTATCATGATCATCAGGTTAAGTTTTTCATAATCGTTAATGTCACCATATTCTCAATATAAATTATAGCAACATTTCGTTAGAAGTTGTTTTAAATAATCGTGCCCTGAAATCAATACACTTCCCTGGAATATATGTATATATATAGTATTTATTTTTTTCTAGTCTAATGTATTTATGTTTTAAAGTAGATTACTTAGTTTTACAAAAACTGACGTCTTATTTGGAGGAAACTCGGCCTTAAGCATGCTGATTTTTGCTCTAGAACTGACCATAAGATAAATGTTGTGTGGGTGTTATTTTCTCATTTGCATTAGATAAACTTTTGAATGATATGAAATCTGGTTATTTTCACAAGTCCTGAAGCAGTAATATTCCTTGTTTAATATATATATATTATGACTTGAAGCTTAATTCATTCTTCTGTTATATATATTATAATGGTAAAATGACTAGCTTTCCTTGTAGGTTTTTGGGGCTTTTTGGTACTTGTTTTCCATTGAAATGGAATACACATACTGGAAAAACGCCTGTTGGAATAATACTGAATGCTCTCCCCAATCATTTTACTGTGATGGTGATTTTTCTTTTAGTATGTTGCTGTATCAATCTTGTCCTATACAAACACCCAACACAACTCATTCCAATTTTGGGATATTCCTTGATGCCCTTCAATCTGGTGTTGTAGAGTCAGAAGATTTTCAAGAGAAATTTTTTTACTGTTTTTGGTGGGGTCTGCAAAATCTAAGGTGTGCTGAAAAAGACACTTTTCTTTTATTTTTCCTTTTCCCATAGAATGTTCACTAGTCATTGCTTGTTTCTTTTTACTAGATGAGCTATATTTTAGCTAATTGTTTTACATCAGATTACTTGCATTTCATCTCTAGTAGCTTTTATAGATAATTAGATACATAGATATGCATCCCAAACTCCAATATGCTTATTGGCATGCAACATCTGATTTTTTGGAAACTAGTTTTAGTATTTGACTGTATATCATTAATATCCCAAATTCCACCATTGTAATAATCTTTATTTTCTTCATCTTTTTTTGTTATTATTTATATTTTTATTATATTCATATTGGATCAACAAGATATATGGATGTAATTACTCTACTAATATTTCTTTCCAGAAAATATTTACTCTTTCAACATTCTCTTATTAGTATATAATTTTTTTGTCTGGTTAACACCAACCATGACCTCAGAATCACAATAAAATAATTGGCCTCTTATTTTTATCAATAATCTTTGCCTTTAGTGGGTGGTTAGCAGAAATATGCATGCAGTCTACATAGAGTATATATTGTGATAAACCTTCCTCATGATATATGTTATGATCATTGGGAATATTCTGGGTATAAGCATCTCTCCTTTTCTATAAACATGTTCACCACTTTTTTATTTCTCTTTCTCCATAGCCCTTGTGGTGCTTTAGAATACTCTTGCTAAAATGGTTGTAAGGGGTCAGTGTTTACCGGTGGTCTTAATCATGTTCTATATTTAGACTTGAGTCAATTTCTCTGTTTACTCTCTCATTCTGTTAGCATAGTGCTATTAAAATCAGACAGCACACAGCAGTGTCTGATATAATTTTTGCCAAATGCTTTTGCAGTTCTCTGGGTCAGAATCTTGAAACTAGTACCTATGTCTTGGAGACCTGCTTTGCAGTTTTCATTTCAATCTCGGGCTTGGTTCTGTTTTCATTTCTCATTGGAAATATGCTGGTTCGTACCAAAGTATCTGCATTCTCTGAATTTTTATGTCAAGGCTTTTGTTTTATGGAAGTGGAACTGGTTTTTAATTTCTTGTAAGACGTGACATTTTGTTGGGAATTCTTTGTATTCTGCAGGCTTCTTCTAAATAACTAGTTTCTATGTTTCTGATATTTGAAAATCTTCTGCATGAACTGTATGCCGTTCACTCATATTTACTGTGAAACAGACATATTTGCAGTCCACAACTACCAGGTTGGAGGAGATGAGATTGAAACGACGTGATGCCGAACAATGGATGTCCCATCGCTTACTACCTGAGAGTCTAAGGGAGCGGATTAGACAATACGAGCAATACAAGTGGCAAGAAACTAGAGGAGTTAATGAAGAGAATTTACTTTGTAATATTCTCAAGGACCTAAGAAGGGATATAACGCGCCATCTTTGCTTGGCTCTGCTCATGAGAGCAAGTGCCTTGACATTTTGGTCATTGTTTGACTTGTGTTCTCACTACCAATCACTAATTTTGGTTTTTTCACTGATATCCTTAAATGGTTCCTTTACTGAGCCAGTGTTTGAGAAAATGGATGAGCAATTATTGGATGCAATGTGTGATCGTCTCAAGCCGGTTCTCTTTACTGAGGAGAGCTACATTGTCCGGGAGGGAGAACCAGTTGATGAGATGCTCTTCATCATGAGGGGCAAACTATTGACCATGATAACAAACGGTGGAAAAACCGGCTTCTTCAATTCGGAATATCTGGGGGCAGGTGATTTCTGTGGAGAGGAATTTCTCACATGGGCACTGGATCCTTATTCTTCGTTGAACCTCCCTATCTCGACTAGAACTTCTGAGCACTTACAGAAGTTGAAGCTTTCGCTCTGATGGCTGATGACTTGAAGTCTGTTGCTTTTCAGTTCCGCCGGCTTCACAGTAAGCAGTTGCGCCATACTTTTAGGTTCTATTCGCAGTAGTAGAGAACTTGGGCAGCTTGTTTTATACAAACTGGTTGGCGCCGTTACAACAAAAAGAGACTCGAAGAATCTCTTAGAGAAGAAGAGAATAGATTGCAAGATGTGTAAGCACCATTTTTACCCGAGCAGCCCCTCCACGTTGCAATTCCAGCAACTTCCAGCAAATGATGGCAGCCCCTCCACGTCCCCGTTCCAGCAGCTTCCAACAAGCATATCAACCGTACACGTTGCAGCTCTATGGTGAGTCACCACCATAGTTTGGTGACTCACCGAAAGACATCCTTGGGACCGGTCCAAGAACAACATCATTAAGGCTTATAAAAGCCATTATCTGCGAAAAAGGAAAAAGAAAATACACAAACATAATGGGGAGAGACACCAAACAAAAAACAAAGAGATATAAAGAAGCCATTTGAAAGCAAAGGAGAAGAAAATACTTTCGTTGAGCCCTTTAAATCGCCGTCGAACCTCCGAAGAACCGAAGGTATAAACCTAGATCTAGGAAATTCTAGGGGTTTTTAGGAGAAAAAGAGATTGGATTCGGCTTTAGGGTTTTAGATCTTTAAGTTAGGATAACATTGTACATTTCGGCCACCGTGGGCAGTGGTCGGCAGTGGTGCCGACGTCGGAGCAAGGCGGCCGATGACTATCTCTCTCCGGGCGGAGGCTTTAAGAGAGAGATGAGAGAAAAAAAAATTTCTCTATTAGAGAGAAAAAATGGAGAAATGAGAAGAGTGAAAGCATTTTAGGCTTAATAATGGGTATTTATACCCTCATCAAAACGATGTAGTTTTGGTGAGGGACCTCCTTATAAATTCCCGCATGGTCAAACCACACGCGTAGTCACTCTGAATTCTGTAAATTCCATTTTAGTCACTTAAATCAATTTTTGATCATTTTAATTTGGTCTCTTGATTTTATTTTCTTTATAATTTAGTCATTGTTATACTTTTATATATTTTAGGTAAAATAACCGATTTAGTCACTGTAATTTTAATAATTAATATTTTAATCATTAATATTTAATTAGTTTAAATTACGCTGTTAACCATTATCTTTCATAATATTTCGAATTAGTATCTTTAATTTTAATACTTTATATTTTAATATTATTAATTTTAATTTCTTTTATTTTGATCATTATTTATTTGTAATTTTATTTTGTTTTTATTATTACTTTCTATATGTTTAAATTATTACTTTAATTATTATTTTATTATTATTATTAGTCATATAAATATGTATTTAATTAAATAATAATGTTTATTTATTTTTAATATCAAAGAAAAGGATAGTCTTAAAGCAACTAGATGTCCTATTATGATATTTTAAAAACAAATAAATATCCTACTTATAAAAACAAGAAAATAAATATTGTTTTATTTTTATTATTTTCTTAGAAAAATTATTATTTTAAATATTTATTTATTTTCCAAATATTAAGAAATGGCAGTCTTAAAGCAACTAGATGTCTTATTATGATATTTTAAAAATAAATAAATATCATGCTTATAAAAAATATATATATATTTACTTCATTATTTTTTAGGAAAATTATTATATTCTTATTAATATTTATTTATTTATTAATATTAAAGAAAAGGTAATCTTAAAACAACTAGATGTCCTTTTTTGATATTTGTAAATAAATAAATATCCTATTTACAAAATCCTAAATATATATATATATATTTAATATTTTTTCCTTAGAAATATGAAATTAAATTTGAAATAACACTATTGTAAATTAAATTCATATTCAAATTCTTAAATTCTATTATTAGAGACAATTTATAATCAACAGATACCAATTTTGGGTTGTGGGGGTGTTAATCCTTCCCCAAACGTAACCGACCACAAATCCCTTTTTATTTCTAAAAAGAATGAATTTTTGGTTAAACGCGGACTAGTTTATCTTTTAACTGATGTTTTCTTAAAACTCTTTTAAAAGATAATTTTTAGGTATTCGACCTACCTAACCCAAAAAGCCGATGACGACTCCTAAAATATTTTAAAACCCATTTATTCACATCACTTTTTCCGCCAAGCAAAAATTCATTCCTGGGCAAAAATCGGTTACGACAGCTTGGCGACTCCACTGGGGATGTGGTCAAGCTTTGAAATTAATTATAAATTATCTCTATCAATTAGAAATTAAAAATTCATATGTTTAATTTATAATTCTTTCCTTTCAAATTTTTTTATATATATACTTATTATTTTCATAATATTTTATATATTATTTTTTATTAATATCTTTATTTTATTTTCATGTATTAAATTTCATTATTTATTTGTTTGTCAAAGGTTTGAATATTTCTCCTTACACACAACACGTGCATTGCATAACATAAGCTTTATAATCAAGTTTGTCCCTTTTAAGTGAGAGTGAAAGCGACGTCTTCATGAGAATTTATTCTCCGTGTCAGACATAGCAAGTAGCTTTCGGGGTTCATATGCTCTACGTCTTCGTGAGAATTTATTCTCCGTGTCAGGCATAGGGAAATGTGTCCCCTTGAATTGAACTCGATCCGCTTAAGTTTGTGATGGACTAGGATTGAGGGTTTGGCAGCCCAATGGGGCACCAACAAGGATAGTTTGAGTACCTTTACTCCTAGAACTAAAACTCTGCATATAATAAACCCTAGAAATTCTCCTAATCTAAGACAATACTGAAATCCTGTCCGTAGGTGTACACAAAGGAGAAATAAGCTATAGTTTTTATTTTATTTCATTTTTCCAAACAAAGCATGAAACTAGAAAGCATGAGGTTAGAATTTATACCATAATAGATAGATTTTTTTTCTTTCCATTAATTGGTACTAACCAATTTATTTTTCCTTTCTCATTTTTACTTTTTATACATTTTGTTTTGCTTTAACTTGTTTATATTAATTTCTTTTGTTTGCATTACATGATCATGACATAACCAAAAGATGTTTACTTGAAAGATTGTTCATCAAATTGGAAAGAATTCATAAATGGACAAAAAGTTTTATGATCAAGCAAACTATGACGCAGCCAAGGAAAGACATCCTGAGGAAACCCCGAGGATAGAAGCAAGCTATGCACAGAAAGATCATGTTATATTAATACCAAAAGTATTACACAAAGATCCTGCCAGATTGATACCAAAAGCAGTCTACGGTAAGAGAATCAGTCGAGACACGTATAATAGAGGAGGTTTTTATGAAGCTCAAGCATGTTATTTGTAGGATCAAAACAAGAAATTGAGCACAAAAATGGAAACCATGCATGAAGATTTCCAGAAAATCAGTCAAGCCTTTCAAAATGCTGGCATAGAAAACACCCCAGAAGAGTGGATAACAGGGGTCGTCAAACTAAAAAAGAATTGGAACATATACAAAGATCTTGTCCAAGAACTTCTTGAACACAAAGGTTCTCTTACAAGGGAAAATGAGCAACTCCGAGAATTGACACAGAAGATGAAGGAAAAAGAGAATGGTGTGGAAGAAGCCGCAGTCCCGATAACTTTTGAGCATGAATCGAAACTAACTTGGCTTTAGAGAAGTTAGGAGGGAAGGTTATCCCCTATATATATAAAGTTTTGTTGAAGTTTGGACTAAAAGTTGTCCCCTACATGTAAAAGTTTTGTTTGATGTACATAAACTTTTGTGTTCAATGAAATTTGTTCTAAGATGATCACTCTTGAGTAACACCTTTTCATACATGCATTTGCATTTTGCATCTTTGCATTTTCATTTTGCATTCATACTTTTATGTTTGATGTCATATTGCACAGTTTGCTTTCCTATTTTTTACATTTTCGTATTTACATTACAGTTTTATTTAAGTATTGTTATATGCATTGGTTATAAAAACATGTAAATAATTTATTAAAGGTTTTGTAAAAGTAAAATCAAGATCATTCATTCATTAAAAGAAGGATTTCAACCAAAGTGATCTTGGTTCTTACTTGTAGAAAAAATGCTTAGCACGACACAAGAAAAATGTCTAAAGAAATTGAGGATAGGCTAGCCAATTTTGAGATAGAGCAGAAAGAGACGCAAGAATAATTTAGGAGCAAGTTGGTACAAGTTGAAGCTAATATCGCAAATTCTCAGATCAATCACTGAACAAGATGGAAGAAATGATTGGGAAACATTTGACCACTGGGAAAAGTCTTGTTGAAAACCCCACACATCCTCTTGGTGTTACACCTGTTTACATTCCAGGGCATACTTCTGCGCATCAGGAAATCCAACCACCAGTTCACTTCACTGTTAAGAACCCACAATATCATGCTGGATCTTCGTTCCCCGCTGATCGTCCTACTGCTTCTGGATTGAAGCCAGATGAATTTTGTACTGATAATGAGATCTCTGACCCGAATGAATTAGTTGAGAAGAAAAAACTCATCCAACGATTGAAAAATATAGAAGACGTGATAAAATTTAGAGAGACGACTGAGTCATTTTTGGGTTTGACGCCAAAGAGCTAAGTTTGGTCCCTAACTTGGTTCTCCCACCAAAGTTCAAGGTTTCAGATTTCGAGAAGTATAATGGGACCACATGCCCTTCATCTCATATCACCATGTATTGTCATCGCATGACTAGCTCTGTAAAGAATGAAAAGTTATTGATTCACTGTTTTCAAGACAGTTTATTTGGACCTGCTTCCAAATGGTATAATCAGCTAAAACATACTCAAATCTGTTCTTGGAAAGACTTAGCTCAAGCCTTTTTGGGTCAATACAAGCACATGGCTGATATGGCCCCTGATCGAACAATGTTGAAAAACATGAATATGAAGTGCAACGAGAGCTTTCGACAATATTCACAACGATGGAGGAACATTGCTTCTCAAGTGAATCCACCATTGACTGAAAGGGAGTTCACTACTTTGTTCATCAATACATTAAAATCTCCCTATATTAATCACATGATAGGTGTTGCGACTAATAATTTCTCTGACATCGTCATGTGTGGAGAAATGATCGAAATAGCTATCAAGAATGGCAAGATAAAAGGCTTCAACAGTACTGACATCGAGGGAGAAGACGAGATCAATACAGTGAGGTCTTATTCAACTAATCATGGGACCAAATCTTATAGAATGACCCGAGAGAAGGCTCATATC